ATCTAGGCAGTGCATGGGGTAGTAGCTCCTTAAGAGGAGAGCAATTATATATATCATAGAGATAAAGCCACATCTTTGAGATTATACTGTACATTTATAATTAATATCTAACAGGAGGATTATGTGATTAGTGTAGCAAACTAAGTGATAGGGACTGCTGGTACCTGGAGAGGGCTGAGAGGTCACTAAGGTATCATTTCCTTTGGGGTGATCATTCTCAGAGCCATCTACCTCTTAAAGAGGCCTCCCGGTGAAGGGAGGTGAGTGAAGACAGAGGGGAGAGACGTTTGGTGGGAGATGATGTCTGAGCATCTCTTGACTCTAACAAGGCATTCGGCCAGCTCTAAGTCTATGAATTAATGGCAAGCAAAGGTGGCTCAAAAAACCTCTCTTTTATGTCTATGTGTATAATACTACAGTTCAATATATTGTACCTTAAATTTCCCTCATTCTCTTTACAAGGAAACTGGGGGGAAATGATTTCAAAGTTAGTATCAAGAATGGTAATGCATTGCCAAATTTTTTTGGACAGTAGCTTGCCTTTTGGATGTTACTAACTGCATATTTGGGTTGCTAGAAAGTTTCCAGTTAAATTTTTGGTGTGCACAAAACAGTGGATAGAACTCGTTGGGGTGCTACAGGGTTTATCCTTGTCTTGTTTTATATCCAGGTCTTGCTTTTCCTTTTCACATTTTATGATACTTACCTGTGTCTTATGACTCATACTAAGCCATCTACAAACTTTTTTATTTGTAAAAGCATTGACATATACATATATGTACTCATATATGCATATTCACATGTTTATTTTAGATTTTGATTACTGTAGAAGAACACGAGAGAGACTAGGGAAGAAATATCTGGCAATTTTTAAACCCAATTGTAATTTTGCAAACAAGCCCTGCTGTTTTTCAAATTTCTGCAGGAGGACACACCAGCTCTGGGGGACCCGTGGCTTAGGTATAATTGTAAATCTTTGTGAGGTACAGCAAACAACAAATCTGAAGGACAGATTACAGATGTGAGGAAATCATAGAGAATGCACCTCACAGTTCCCACTTTTAGTTTTCAAAGTTCTTTTTCACATCTGTGAGCTTTGAAAGTCCCACTGAAGTAAGAAAAGTAGATGAGAAAATAGAATTTGGAGATTATGTTTATTTAAAATTGGCAGTAGCCAACTGAAACCAGAACCCAGTTCTCTTGATTCTTGCTCTTAAGCTGCTTCCAAAAATAGGTTTTGGCCCTGGCTGGTGTGGCTCAGTGGATTGAGTGTTGGCCTGTGAACCAAAGGGTCGCCAGTTTGATTCCCAGTCAGGGTACACGCCTGGGTCATGGGCAAGGTCCTCAGTAGGGGACACATAAGAAGGAACCACACATTGATGTTTATTTCCCTCTCTTTCTCCTTCCCTTCCCCTCTGTCTAAAAATAAATACATAAAATCTTAAAAAAAAAGAAATAGGCTTTATTAAAAATGACCTTAGCAGTCAACAGCCGTGAAATACTAAGGGAATAAAAATGCCACTTATTCTAATCCTCTTTTGCTTATTATTAAGAATTTCTACTTGGATGATGACTATAGCATTAATATTTATTTAAGTTTAAAAATTATAGATTCTTACCATTAAATAGTGCCACACCCTCTTCCAACCATGTTTTCTGACAAGGTCTGAACATGGAAAGAGGGCATTCAAGGAATCCATCTTCCTGGAAGAGAGCGTGGCATACAAAGGGGGGCGGTAATTTTTCTGGGGATTACTTTTAATAATTTCCTTGCTAATATTAATCATGGTCTTACTTTGTACCCTGATTCCCATAAGAATAGGTGATGAGAAGAAAAAGTCTCGAAGTGAGTCAACGATTAACTTGGAGGGAAATTCTGAAGGGACAGCTAGTTCTCCCTAGACTATTGAATCATGCCCAAATTATTTTAAACAAGGTGTTTATGAACCTGAGTAAGAAACTATCCCCGATTGTTCCCATAAAAGAATTCATGAATCAGTTACAATAGGTTGAATTATTGGTGGACTTTCCCATGCCTGTTCCTTACCCATAGATACAAAGAGTCTCTCTAGAAAACAAGAAAAAAAATTATATAGACCCTTACCCACAGCCCAGGGATACCCCTGGGTAGCATATTAGATTATTGGCAAATTATGGTATCCCCCAAAAGGAGCTAATAGTCTCCAGAGGGTTCCAGATCTCCCATTGCCTTATACAGGAGCATATAATGAGGGTGGCATTAGAATGGTCAATAAGGATGAAGTTCAAGTTCCTTATCCAGGAGCATATAATGAGGGTGGCATTAGAATGGTCAATAAGGATGAAGTTCAAGTGCCTTATAATAGTCTAAATTTCATGGAGAGGCTAGCTCAAAGCAGACCTCCCTGGTGTTTATTAACTAAGGAATTAAAAAGGGTTTATTGTAGCTGAATTTCCTGTTTATCTCTCCTTACATGTTTGTTTTGGTGATTAAAAGGTGGTGGGATTGTTAGATACCTATATCTCAGGTTTATTGATTCACATAATTCCAATGAAGTTGTATAAAATAATTTCTTGATCAAAGAATAAAATCCCCTCTAATGAAATAGCCCCTGAGTGTCTAAAAGATGTTGGAGTAACAGCCCTGCCTTTACCTTGAATAGGAATATATACCAAGTAGAATTAGACAGATAAAGAAATAAGAAAAGCTGGTTAACTATTATAAATTAAGCATGTAGGAGCCGTTACCAGGGAGTCAGAGTCCATGGTACATAGAGAAATATTTTAGACAGAAAAGGTAAATAGGTAAGTTACACATCACAAAGGCCTTATAATAAATGTCCTATAACCTCTATTCAATTTAACATATCCTTTTGCCCCATGACAAATTCTGAGAACTTTAATAAACAATAAGACATTCAAACTCTGTATGTACAGCTATTTCTAATTGTCTGATTTATGGCTCTCCTGGTCAAAATAATCTTTGTTTAATAAAACTGAATCTATGGGAAGTTTTGTACTTTTCCTGGTTACCTTTGTATTAATTTTTTTCTGCTTCACCTAACCGCAAATGTCAATCACTGCTAAAAATGAAAGTATAAAAACCTGTTCGTACTTGCAATAAACGGAACAGAGCATCACTGTCCTCTGAGGCATGTTGTCGTCTGTCTCCCATCGCCGTCGCCTTACCCACCTTTCAGGAACCCCTGGACCTAGCTGCGGCCGGACCACAGCAAAATAGATACAATTCCGAGAGAGGATTAAACATTATTTTCTAGCCCAATTTTAAGTCCACAGATGAGTATATGACTAAGATTAAGTTTTTTCTCCCAGCAGAAACTACTTTTAAAGCCTTGGATTGAATAGCAGAGATATGATGATCCCCTGACGATTCAGAGCCCTGATAATCATAACACAGCCATTTTCGATTGTGGCACAGTGTCGTGTGTACTGGGTTGTAACCCAGATGAGCAGAGATGGCGTGTCTCCCATCGCTGCCAGCACTCCAGCTGCTGTTTCTGCCTCTGAAGTCAAGAAGACTGGTAGAGATCAAGTTCCAGAACTTCCTATATTAAGAGGTCATCACAGATTTGGTGGCTTCAAACAACAAACATTTATTCTCTCATAGTTCTGGATGCCAGAACTTCAAACTTGATATCACTGAGACAAAAGCAAGGTATTGGCAGGGCCACACTCCACCCAGAGATTCTAGTAGGGAATCCACCCCACGCTTCTGGCTTCTTCTGGCTGTTGGCATCTTTTGTGGTTGTTTCACTTTACTCTCTGCTTCTGTGGTCCCACTGCCTCCTCTTGTGGCTGTAGTCAGATCTCCCTGTGCCTCCCTCATGTAAGGATATTTGTGATTGTATTGAGGGCTCACTCTGACAATCCACCCATCTCAAGATTCTCAATATAATAGCCCTTGCTCCACATAAAGTAACACTTGTAGATTTCAGGATATCTTTATGGTTATTATTCAGCCTATCGTGTTCCCCCAAATCCTTCAATTTGGCTAGCTTAGTTGTCTGTTTGTTTATTTTGTTTTTGTTTTTTTACTCTTGATTCTATAGGACAGCAATTTTCAACCTTTTTGATTTCATGGTACACATAAAGTAATTACTAAAATTCTGTGCCACACCAAAAATATATTTTTTCCTGACAAAAATTAGATATAATTTTGATTCATTCACACCATATGGCTATTATGTTGTTTGCTGTCACTTTTTTATTTGGCAATTTAAGGGAAAAGAGGTCAGTCCCTTTGACTAAATAGTTCATGTTTTAACAATTCTTGTGGCACACCAGTTGAAAATTGCTGCTATAGGAAATTAAATATGTTGTGAATAAATTATCAATTGGTTTATCTTTTCACTTCCTTTTACAGTATATTTGAGGGTCAGACAGGTAGCTATGGTCTCAAATTCCTATTATCTAAGGAAATCTATTCTTTTATTCAAGTTACACACTTTCTACTTTATAAAAACCTGTGTTCTTGATTTTGTGGATAAAATATAACCATGTTCAAAGAATTCACAATAAAAAAGAACTTCTAAGGATACTCCAAAATATTGTTAGTATAATAAAAGTGTTCTTCTTTATGTAATTCTCTGGAAAAAGACAAAAGGAATCAGAGACCAGAAGAGAAATTAGCATTTCCTTTCTAATTCCCCCTTTTATATCTTCCATGTGGTCCCCAGTCACACTAAGTGAGAAGCAGAAGACAAGATATACAAATCATCCTCTCTAATAAGGAGGAAAAATAGATTAAAAAGACAAGGTGAGATACACTATGCTGTGTTCTTAATAACTGATCTCTCAAACCAGCATAGAACAAATTTTCAGTCATCCAACAAGAATGATATCCAGTTCAGCATAAACATGTCTCACTTTGAACAACATATGTATCAGTTGGGTTTTTCAATGATCTAAAATGCCCAGTGACAAGGGAGCTTGTATATATTTTAAATCATGCCATATTTCTTAATCTATTTGCAGAGAGAGACCATAGAAACTCAGAATCAATGGATGAGAAAAATTTCACCCAAGTGAAGGAGTTCATACTTTTAGGGTTCACAGCTGACTTATGGTTACAGAGTGTTCTCTTTTTCATCTTCCTCACCATTTATCTCTTCAGTCTCTTGGGGAACATCACCCTGATTTCTCTGATCTGTGCTGATTCTCGGCTCCACACACCCATGTATTTCTTCATTGGAAACCTTTCCTTCCTGGATCTTTGGTATTCCTCTGTCTATACTCCCAAAATCCTTATGACCTGCATCTCTGAAGACAAAAGCATCTCCTTTGCAGGCTGTCTGGCTCAGTTCTTCTTCTCAGCTGGATTGGCCTATAGTGAATGTTACCTGTTGGCTGCCATGGCCTATGACCGCTATGTGGCCATCTCCAACCCCCTGCTTTATTCCCAGGCAATGTCCTCAAGGTTATGTACCAGTCTTGTTGCAGCTTCGTACCTTGGTGGCTTTCTTAACTCAACCATCATTACCAGCAAGACATTTACCCTGACCTTCTGTGGGAACAATATAATTGATGATTTTTTCTGTGATCTTCCTCCTCTTGTAAAGTTGGCCTGTGACGTGAAGGAGAGCTACCAGGCTGTAGTCTATTTCATACTTACCTCCAATGTCATTACTCCCATCATGCTTATTCTCGCCTCCTATCTCTTCATCATCACCGCCATCTTGAGGATCCGCTCTACCCAAGGTCGTCTCAAGGCTTTCTCCACTTGTGCCTCTCACCTGACAGCTGTCACCTTGTACTATGGTTCAATTCTCTTCATTTACTCTCGACCAAGTACGAGTTATGCCCTGCAAAGGGATAAAGTGGTGTCAGTGTTTTATACTGTGGTGATTCCAATGTTGAATCCTTTGATCTACAGCTTAAGAAATAAAGATGTTAAAGATGCTCTGAGAAAAATGGTAGACAGAGCAAAGTGTTTCTAAATGAAAATACTTGGTAAACAATGGCTGTATTTTATTTTACAGGTTATTTCCATGTTATCATTATCAGCTATATGCTCAAAAATGAAATGGACAAGCAAACAAACAAACATCATTGGATAATGTGGAAACACCAGTCTGTATTTTTGTCTTTTGAATGTTTCTTTAAAATAAGTGATGCATTTGGAAAAACTGTTATGTCTGTTGGCTTGGAAGTTTTAGTTTCTTAATTTTTAAATACCTAATATTTAAATACCTAATATTCCTTGCTTCCTAATAAGCAGGGCCCGTATGCCTTGAGGTAGAATACTTGTGCTAGATGAAATAAGCCAGGCAGTGAAACACAAATACCACAGGATTTCACCTATAAGTGGAACGTAATCAAAACAACAAAGAAGCAAAATAGAACTAGAGACATGGAAATAAAGAACAAACTGACAGTGACCAGAGGGGAGGGTGATAACAGGGGAAAGAAACGGAAGGGAAAAGTCAAAGAACATGAATAGAGGACTCATAGGCTTGGACAACAAGGTGGGGATTGACTGTGGGAGTGGGGGTGTGGGGGTTGGGTGGCACAGGGGTGAGCAACAGGGAAAAAGTTGGGACAACAGTGAAAAAAAAAGAAAACTTGCATTTGCATTCTAATTACAAACTGATCTGGTTTAGCTCAAAGTAAATGTTTTCAACAGTGAACTAAATCACAATGCTCTTTTGGTTTAGCTTTCTCCCACTGCTTTTTCAGCTAAGAGAAAAGCAGCTGGCTAGTGGAGCATCAGCCCTAATTCTGCATTTTTAACTTAATTCCTCCCTTTAGTTTCTCTCTGAGAGCTTTGGAACTTCAAGATGTGAACATTAAAGGATTTATGGTTATTCAATGAATCTCTGACACCAACAATTGGGGTCTTTCTAATGATCAGCATCCATTATATCAAAAACTTTCTCCACTATGTATATAAATCTAACATTAACAAGCAAATGTGGGGAACATAAAAAAGTTTTTTTAAACTCTTTTTAATAAGTAAAGAAACCCAAGTTGTCAGAGGGTTATGGCATTGCCTTAGCTAGCAGAATAAGAAAGAAACAATTCTCCTATAAAAGACAAACATGGCTTAATAGTTGAAATCATATACTCTTGTTAAAGACAATTCTGGGTTCAAATACCAGCTCTGTTGTTGACCAGCTCTGTGACCTTGAAATTGTCTCTTTTTAAAAAGATTTCATTTATTTATGTTTATAGAGAGGGGAAGAGAAGAGGAAAGAGAGGGAGAGAAATATCAATATATTGTTGCATCTCCCATGCTCCCTACTGGGGACCTTGCCTGCAACCCAGGCATGTGCACTGACTGAGAATTGAACAGGCGACCTTTCGGTTTGCAGCCTGCCCTCAGTCCACTGAGCTACACCAGCCAGGGCTTGAAAGTGTCTCTTGAACTCCATGAGGATCATCATAATACTTACCTTATAAAATTGCGTAAAGGATTTAGTGAGTTGAAATTAAAACTTAGAATACTAACTGACACACAGTGGTATATATGTACATATATATTTCTATTTGTATTAATTGCAGCAGAAGTAGTATGTATATTGGTATTTGTATAACCATTAGCACAATGCATGATACATAAATTCTCAGTGATATACAAAGGGTACTGAAAATTTTTTGTGGGCTTTTTATGTACCTAACATTAGGCTGGGTGTTTTCATGAATCTTTGCTACCCAATCAGACAACCTGCCAGTTGCTTCATTTTTCTTGTCTGGTGAGACTGAGGGACTTGCCTTGCATTAAACAAATAAGTGAAAGCCTTCATTTTATAATCATATTGTAACACCAGTTCCTGTGTTCCTCCAAAGCCACAGACTGAAGTTCTGTTATACTAGATAGGCATGGATAAATGTCTGTAAGACTCACAGTAATTGTTGACTTAACTGATACCTTTGTTTATTTCTTTCAATAGAAAAATCAGTAAATAATTTTTCCCCCCAAATCATCATCAGGATTTCTTCTTTGTGAACATGGAAGTAGGAAATTATACCATGCTGCCTGAGTTCATTTTGGTAGGGTTTTCAGCAAACCCCTGGTGGCAGCTGATTTTATTTGTAATATTTCTGACATTCTATTTGATAACCTTGTCAGGGAACATGACCCTGGTTACTTTAATTCATATTGCTCCTGCTTGCACATACCTGTGTACTTTTTCATTGACAATTTGTCTTTTTTTTGACTTTTGTTACATCTCTGTGTATGTTCTCAATATCCTGGCCAATTGTATCTCAGAAGATAAACACATTCCCTTGGCTGTATGTGGAGCCCAACTGTTCTTCTCCTGTGTTGTAGCCTATGCTGAGTTCTAGTTCCTAGCAGCCATGGTGTATGACTGCCACAAGGCCATCTATAACCCATTCCTGCATTCAGGTACTATGTCCAGCTCTCTGTGTACTGGCCTTGTTGCTGACTCTCACATAGGAGGGTTCACGAATGCAACAGCCCATATTGCCAACACTTTCTGCCTTAGTTTTTGTGGTAAAAATATCATGGACCATTTCTTCTGTGATGTACCACCATTGATAAAAATGTCTTGTACAGAAACCCAGGGCTATGAAAAAGTCCTCCTGGGTGTGGTGGGCTTCACCATTCTCTCTGGCATTCTTGCCATCCTGATTTCCTGTTTCAACATCCTTCTGGCTATTCTGAGAAACTGCTCAGCCTGTGGAAGGTGCGAGGCCTCCTCCATCTGTGCTTCTCACCTCATCTCAGTCATGCTCTTCTATGGATCTTTGCTCTTCATGTATTCAAGGCCAAGCTCCACCCACTCTCTGGAGAAAGACAAAGTGGCTGCCTTGTTCTACACTGTGGTCAGCTCATTGCTGAACCTTATCATCTATAGCCTGAGAAACAAAGATGTCAAAGAGGCCTTCTGGAAAGCCACATAGACCATAAGGACACAGAGATGAATGTTATCTTTTCAAAGAATGCTCTCATTGCATTTTTCAGAGTACTGGCTTATAGATAGACATGTTGGTAAATGTTGCAATATTTCAAATAAATATAAGTTATACTCAAAACAATAAAACATGATCAAACCACTATTAATTGTTTATATTATTTTGTTGTGATTGAACTATTTTAAACTTATAACATTGGGTAGTTTAATATTCCACAGTATTTTATTTCTGAATTAATTGATTTAGGATAAGGCCTAGACATTGATATTAAAACCAAACAAACTACAACAAACATCTATAGTGCATTTAAGATTAAGTGATATCAGCCCTGGCTGGCGTAGCTCAGTGGATTGAGAGTGGGCTGGGAACCAAAGTGTCCCAGGTTCGATTCCCAGCTAGGGTACATTCCTGGGTTGCAGGCCATAACCCCCAGCAACCGCACATTGATGTTTCTCTCTCTCTCTCTCCCCCTTCCTTCCCTCCCCAAAAAATAAATAAATAAAATCTTAAAAAAAAAGATTAAGTGATATCATTATGGAGGCATTATTTAGCTAATGTGGCTCTTTGTATATTGAAAGGACTAGTTAATGTTAACTTTTTTTTTAAACTGATTTGAGAGAGTAACATCATCTTGTTTTTCCACTTATTTATGCATTCATTGGTTGCTTCTTGTATGTGCTCTGAGTGAGGATCAAACCTACAACCTTGGACCGTGCTTTAACCAACTAAGCTACCAGTTAGGGCCAAGTAATATTAACTTGCTTTCTTTCTCTCTTCATATTTTTCTTCCCCTTTACATCCAAAACAAGGAAGTAAATGTAGTGATGTAGATATTTTAAAGATGAACAAACCAAAGCTGATAAAGTAAAATGGTACGTTTGAGCTCACAGTTTCCTGGCCTTACTGTTTCCTTATATAAACAGTTTGTATTTAGTTGTTATGCAATAGTATGTGGTTCCAGAATTTGCTATGACCAGTGAGAAGAGAACCTAGGGTTCAAATTTGCTATGTGGATAGTTGAGAGTATACTAGGATCATAACCATCTCTAAAATATTGTAAATTCTAAGAAATGACTCTCCAGCCCTGGCTGGTGTGGCTCAGGGAATTGAGCCCCAGGCTGCAAACCAAAGGGTTGCTGGTTTGATTCCCAGTCAGGGAACATGCCTGAGTTGTGGTCCAGGTTCCCAGTAGGGGGCACTTGAGGGGCAACCACACATGGATGTTTCTCTCCCTCTTTTTTTTCCTCCCTTCCCCTCTCTAAAAATAAATAAATGAAATCTTAAGATAAAGGAAATGACTGGTCTTTGAAGTCTGAATTTTAGGTTTTGCTGTTCTTGTGATGAATACACCCATTTTTATGATTCCTTGTATTCGGCAGTATAAAAGGCACAGAACACCCTGGATGCTTGGAAGGCCTGCAACATAACCATGCTAAACGTTCATGTGCAGGGTAGGGAGATGGGAGGAGCTACAACCAACAAGTGTCTCAATCAGGAATCCCTCAGAACAAATAATTGCATTTTAATTACTGGTCTGGGACATTATCCCTTAAGAATCCAAAATTCAGCCTTAGGTCCTAAAATGAGAAAACTCAGATAACTTAGGGATTTCACTGTGCATGCACTATTATGTTTGTTTCTACTCTACTTATAAAAGGACTGAGTCAGATTATGGTAGTTATTTATTTGTAGTTATCATAACAGAAGATTTATTTTATGTCCATAGAATTGTATTTTTGGGACATGAATATAATGTTGGTTTATTTTTTATTAGTAATTGTTTGCATGAGTAAGTGGTAAGGACAGGTATGAAACAGATTATTTCTACACATCACTTGTGTCCTTAGGGTATGTATTTTTTCCCTGCTCTGCCCATGTTTGTAATGGCCTATTAAGACATGAATAATAGTAGTAAAATAAAATCATTTGTTATTTAACTTAAGGATCTTTTGGAATTAGGCAGACTCTAGTACAAATTGTGGCTCTGTTAAATAGTCTGACTTTGAGAAAGTTGTATAGCCTGCCTGATCATCAATTTTCTCATCTTTAACATGAATAT